AATTATGTCATTTTAATAAACACTTAGTGAAAAATATTAAAATATAATATTTTTAAAGTATAAATTAAAGTATTTTTTATTATTTTTTGTAATAGTTTATTAAAATTATGTAATTTTGATAAAATTTTTCATATACTCTTTAAGAGATATAGTAAATAAGTATTAACCTTTTATATAATAATATATTATATTATAAATTTATAATATTATATGATATTATAAATATAACATTTAAAAAAAAATTTACACACTTATTTGAAGAAAGAAGAGAATCATGTTTTGTAGTTTGAGAATAAATAGACTGTAAAATATAAACAGTTGAATGGGAGAAGGTTCTCCATCCCCCATTCCTCGTCCCTCGTCCAATCATTTTAATTATGTAATTTAATATAATTTTAATTATACAATATTTTTTTTAAAAAAAAACATGTTCCAATGAAATAAGGTAAAAATTTAGAATATGTTTGATTGAAGATTTTGAAAATAAAAAAAAAGGATTCCAGTGAAACTGACTAAAAGTCAAGTTAGTTTACTCAAGAAATTAAAGTTTTTGACACGGGAACTCCCCATGTGACCCAATAAATGTGCTACGTTACTTTAAAAAGTAGTAGGTGGAGTTTATCAGTTTCGATTTCAATATTGGCCTATAAACAGATATTAACACTTAATTAATGTTTCAATATTGGCCTATAAACAGATACTAACACTTAATTAATGTTTTTTTTATCCCAAAAAAAAGTTTTTGAGACGAAAATTGAAATAAAGTATAATTGAGTATAATGAAAATGTAAATGATTATATTAAAACTTTCCTAAGAAACGTATTTTTTGAGATTTTTAAATAAGAAATTGAGGTAATTGATTATATTTTTATAATCAATATATACTTTTTATAATTAATTATATACCTAATGTAATTACTTATATTTTTATTATAATCAATTATATTTTATCTTAATTTTCATGCTAAAAACATTTATTTCTTAAGCTAAACTAACTTCATTTTTTTGATCAACTTTCCTAATTTTTTTTTTCAAAGAAATTTCAACCAAACCAGCCTTAAGAACAAAACTTACAAAAATTTAAATATAATGGCCTCCAGCAGTCTGTCCATGCTGGAAGATTCAAGAACCTGACTGCAGCAGAGTGCAGTCTTAGTAGTCTACTATTTTAGCTAGCTGAGGGATGGGATTAGGAATATTGACTTTTTTAAATACAAATTCCAAATTAAATATTTAAAATAAAAGTGATTAAATTATTGAATATAATGTTTTGTAATAAAAGATAAAATAATATTATGTAATATTGTAAAATTATATTATATATAATATATTATAATAAAAAAATACATATCAGTTATAATTTTTAAAAAATTAGAGTTTTAATTTTAAATTATAT